AAAAAAACTCACTGTGCTAAGCTATGGAAATACAAAAAAACATATCACATTATACAGTATACGCTTTTCGCAATAAATATCCACGAAGGAGACTCCGTACGATGTACTGAAGACCTAAAGATCTATTACTATCAATCACCGTGTGCGTCCATTCCACGATCGATTCTGAAATAGTACTGGCGACTTCGACGAGCGTATTACGGAGAGTTTCTGAACTACTAACTTTCTTATAAAAAAACAATTTAATTTTCTAAAACAAACTTTTAATTTATTGCTAAAATTAAAACAACAGCGTTGCGGTACCGTTCAAGAAAAGAGAATGATGAGCATTCGGATAAAAAAGAAGTGGGCGATACACTTTTACACAATTTTATGTTGATTTTATTTAGTGTTGATAAAAATGCCCTATATCGTTAATCGGGAATAATATAATTTCCTAGAAATTAATGAATTTTCATGAAGTAAATTTCNAAAATAGTCCAGGACAATTATTAATGGGCGGGTACGTAATTTCGTTCGGAGTAATAAAATTCTTAAAATTTTCTAATTTTGCAAAATAAAATTCGAAGCCCACGAAAACCCCACAACAACAAATGAATTAAATGCGCTCGTTTTTCACTTTTACGTATTAATTTCGTTGTCATGTAAATTTTTGCGTTTGTTACCCAGTTGAATTCTGAAATTATGATAAAAGCGAAATAAGTAGTAAGAATTATGTTTTTGAAAACCAACATTAGTAACTTTCAATGAGCAACAAGAAAATGAAAGAAAACTTTAACAGATAATACTTAATTTATTACTTGTATAATACAACATATGTGTGTACGTTACCATTTATATAGTAGGAAGGTATATTAAATAATACAACGCCATCCAGGATGGCAAGATACATTTTTGTATTAATGTTTAGTTGCGCAACAATATACAGTATAATATGTTGTTTATCTGCATATATTATGTATATATAAATAGTAATTTTCTTATAAACTATTTAATTTTTAACATGGCCTTATAACTGCATCTAAACTTAATTCATTATTTCCAATTTCGGACGCAAACCAACAAAATCGCCGAGTTACTACGTATTACCAAAATAAAAAACAAAAAAAAACGAATTTCCGAAAGAAAAACGCACAGACAATTTTGAACTAAAACAACATTTTTTTAACAGAGTCTTCAAACTAAAACTTGATGCAAAACTGAAAAATAAAGCTCATTTGGCCTTAATGCAACAGTTTAAAAGATTCAGCTGTTTATTAACTACCTAATAATTAGGAAAAATAATATAATGGTCATCAAATACTGAAATATTTCGTTTTTAAAAGCAATCAAACAAAAATTCCAAATAATTTTAAACTGCTGATTAAAACCTACCAACTTTTTTATTTTTTATTGCGCATCGTCACTAGCACACATCCACTGTAATTTATATCGCTTGTTCATGANAATTAATTTTTCTGACAGGTTTACAAAGAGGTTATAACTTTGCTTGATAAACACGAAAGTTAATCGAGAGAGTTTTAATTCTTGGCGTGAAGAAGTGTACACAAAAGAGTCGTAATTTAACAAATATTTACACGGTTGAGACCCTAAATTCGCTCGCTCGCAAACTAAGTACTGGACTTCTGTAGTTATGTTTACCATCGAACTTTTGATATTATCATCCAACTCGATTTTAGGTTGAAAACGCCAAATAGCCCACTTGTTTTCTTAAAGTTTACCAACTTTCGCAAACAAACCCTTCCAAAAGTACCTACTCTCTCATATCGCCTCACTAATTTTCTGTAGCCTTTTATCAATAAAACGCTCTTCCAATTTCCCGTGAATTATAATGTAAATAATTTTGGAAATAGAACTGCTACGTTCTATATGTATAAAATTCAAAGAAAAGATTTCATATTAAATAAAACTATTGATTCGAGTCTAAACCGACCCGAATTAGAATAGGATTAGATCACCTACTGGACGCCAAAGCCCTTATCAATTTCTCAGATATTATTTTAATTTTAAACATCACTCTTGGAGTCATAATTCAAAGTGTTTGACGCAAATTTTGACCATTGCCTGCTTCTCATTAACTTGTGTTGAATACTGAAGAAATTAAAGTTAAAAGATTTTTGAATTAAACTTTGAAAATTCACTTGCATACAATAAATATTAACTTGAAGCTCTAAAAAGGCAGAAAGATTTTTCTGTAATATTGTTGATTCTACTTTAATAATTTTTTTATTAAACAATAAAAGTTAATTTAATTTACTTATTTAGGACAAGCAAAATTCAATCAGAATCGGGATGTTCTTAAGGAAATTTTAATACCAAGCGAAACTACAACTTAATATAAATGGTTCCTTTTAGTGTAAAATCTTTTAAATTTCAGAAATAAAAATAAATTACGTGCTTTCGTCAATGTTAATAAAATAAGTTAAATTTCCCGCAGAAATAATTTTCTCAAGCTATATCGTACTAAACGTGACCTCTGCCGGGAAAATTCCGTGTTCCTTGCAATATTTCGTCCTGCAATACAGAAAACTGAAAAACAAAATTTCAAATTCAAAACAAAATAGTCCAGGACAATTATTAATGGGCGGGTACGTAATTTCGTTCGGAGTAATAAAATTCTTAAAATTTTCTAATTTTGCAAAATAAAATTCGAAGCCCACGAAAACCCCACAACAACAAATGAATTAAATGCGCTCGTTTTTCACTTTTACGTATTAATTTCGTTGTCATGTAAATTTTTGCGTTTGTTACCCAGTTGAATTCTGAAATTATGATAAAAGCGAAATAAGTAGTAAGAATTATGTTTTTGAAAACCAACATTAGTAACTTTCAATGAGCAACAAGAAAATGAAAGAAAACTTTAACAGATAATACTTAATTTATTACTTGTATAATACAACATATGTGTGTACGTTACCATTTATATAGTAGGAAGGTATATTAAATAATACAACGCCATCCAGGATGGCAAGATACATTTTTGTATTAATGTTTAGTTGCGCAACAATATACAGTATAATATGTTGTTTATCTGCATATATTATGTATATATAAATAGTAATTTTCTTATAAACTATTTAATTTTTAACATGGCCTTATAACTGCATCTAAACTTAATTCATTATTTCCAATTTCGGACGCAAACCAACAAAATCGCCGAGTTACTACGTATTACCAAAATAAAAAACAAAAAAAAACGAATTTCCGAAAGAAAAACGCACAGACAATTTTGAACTAAAACAACATTTTTTTAACAGAGTCTTCAAACTAAAACTTGATGCAAAACTGAAAAATAAAGCTCATTTGGCCTTAATGCAACAGTTTAAAAGATTCAGCTGTTTATTAACTACCTAATAATTAGGAAAAATAATATAATGGTCATCAAATACTGAAATATTTCGTTTTTAAAAGCAATCAAACAAAAATTCCAAATAATTTTAAACTGCTGATTAAAACCTACCAACTTTTTTATTTTTTATTGCGCATCGTCACTAGCACACATCCACTGTAATTTATATCGCTTGTTCATGAGCTACACCATGTTCAAAAAAAATCTACAGGGGTTGCGAAATCAATCCATTCACCACTAATTTAAAAATCACATTTTTTTTAACGCAAACACACTTCTGCAATCAACTTAACAACAATAAATGCTGTAACGATCACTTATTATATTAACGAAAATGTAATATAAATATATTATTTACAAACATTAAAAAATATATACACATACAATTTCCTTCAATTTTTCAGAACAAAAAGAATTAAAACACATAGGTTTCATGCTATTTTTATAATTCGTTAAAACAATGGCGTAACAAGCAATAGAGACGCTATTGCGAAAGAGATGCTAAAAAAACACTAAAAAAATACTTTAATAAAAATTATGGCTTGACTCTATACGTCAACGGCTGCAATACAAATGTATAGATTCTAAAATTTTTGCTTACATTGGTCTTGTAGAGGATTCCATAACATTTTGTTGCGCCACTGTAGTAACAAATTATTAAACCGTTTATGTAGGGAGCTCACGTCGTTCGTTCCCGACGTAATTATCAGGGACGTATTTAGGACCCTAAACTACAATTTGTGAAATCATATCAGATGTACCGCATCACAATAAATTTTTCGAAAATGCTGTTTTTGTTAACTCACCACTCCCGCTTAAAATTTTGATCGTCGACTTAAGTACGGACCTTATATGTGCGAACAACGTCTGCTCCCCAATCATAAGTATCATAAAAACATTTAAGTAATATTTTCCCCTTTCAAAATAGTTATTGTTCACAAGAATGACGTTCAAATTTATTATTGCATCTACAATAAAAATTCAGATGTACCAGTTTTATAAAGCTAAATGCAAACTTGCTTTGTTTCCTACCGAAGCTGTTTATTTTTTGCTCGTTATCCGTTATTAAATGTTCTATAACTTCCGTTCAAAATAACCGTTGTTCCCTAACACACCTGATCTACCTACGGTTTTAACACCACACATGCACCCTCGAGTTCGATACGGCTGAACACAATCAAAGATGATGATTATAATAATACGTAATGGTTTAAGTTTCAAAAATTTCAAAAAATAAAATTGTGCATTAGTATATTCTAGTTTTGGAAAATTGTTCCGATAGTTTTGTTTCTTAAAAGTTAAACTATATGGATTGACAGGGACGAGTTCACGTTTTCTTGTCGAAATACGTTTATAAAGATCGAAAGAGAAGCCAAAATTCCCTTCTCTTGTTACGCCCCTGTTTTTAAATGACAATTTATTTAATTAATACTGCTATCAGAAGAGTAAAAAACATTAAGTACAAAAAATTCAGTGCATTCAAGATGTAAATTTTATACAAAATACTAGTAAAAAAAGTTACTTAAAATTCAATAGTTAGATAATTATTACAAAATTGGAAATAAAAAACTACGATAATGATGTGATTCTAAGCATAATTTTTTTTTTTTAATAAAAACTTAAGAAAAAGTTACCAACACTTACACTTCAGTCTGGAAAAAATCACTTACCTTTTACTGCAATTTAGAATTTTTAACAGAAAAAAAACCAAGTCATTCTTATTCCGTATGCAATAATTTCAAATCGAACCCTCAATTAATTCATTTCAACAGTTATTATTATTGCGAACCTATTAACAAATCAAACGTTTTCAATGATATATTGTACTATTTTATTAAGTACTGTCCTATCTGTAAAGCATTTTCTATAATTTTCTAATCTAGGCTTCATCCACACAAATCAACTCATTACGCTAATTTCAGAATTGTTTATTATGGTGGTGCCCAGATAATAATAAGGGGAACCAAAATGCATAATAAAGGGTAAGTTATTTGTTTAAAAAGGTGCTTTTAGAATAATCCTGGGTATCTCAACTGTAAGTCCAAATTGGCGTCACAATTTAAATGATTTTAAGGTTGTCACGTTTAGTCAAAATTTACATTTCACAAATATATCTCATAAACGATTCACGTTACGACAAAAATGGTCTTAATTTGGGTAGCAGACAATTGAATTCTCTGTTCATCTCATTAAAAACATTTTTCTCTGAAATTAACATTTTAGAAGTTACAGTGCATAAAACATGAGCCAAGAATGTACCCCTTCCAAAAATTATGTTTAAAGGATTGTTAATTTTAGATATGTATTGATTTTTGTAAAAAACATTGCCATGAATTAGAGATCTACTTTCACGCGGTATCTTATGGGCCAAAAGGACCATAACCTCAAAAATTCGAATATTCAATTTTCTATTAAAACTATTCGAAAAACGTGAATTTGAAGATAAATAAAATTAAGCGCCTATTCGAATTAATATTCTGAGGGTATCCCAAAAGTAATTTTCTATAAAGGACAGGTATTCTCTCGTCCGCCACTTTGGATCCATCTGATGGGTTCAAAATGGCGAAAGAATTTCAGCAAAAGTACTCCCTAAAAAACTCACTTACCCTGTCTGAAATAACGAAATTGTACCTGGGCACCTCACCACATTTTATTATTATTAATAACGATATTCGACTAATTTGAATTGAGAATTGTGTAGTACCCCACTAACTTGTTTGCGACAGTGAAAAAACTATTCCAATGTGAACATTTCATTTTTTGCCTCTCTGATTTTATTTTTATTTTTGACTATGTAATTGTAAGTACACAGAGCTATCACAGAATCCATAAAATACTAGAAAGTAGATCAATGTTTTTTCGTTTAAGTTAAAAATGCAAAGGTACATGTTACACGACGAAATTCGTAATTTAAGTACACATTTCAAAGTTTGCCTCTAATACTTTTTCGTTTTTGCAACACTTACTTAAATTTAGCATGTTTTCATATGTAGATATATGTGTGTGTGTAAATGTAAAACAGACGTTAAGAGATCGTTGTTATGATTAATTTTTTTTTTATGGTAAGGTAACCTTCCCAATTATTCACACCAAAACAGTAGACGTGACCAATATCCTTGTTTAGCACCATTCAATTTGCAAACCTTTTTGTATCATTTTTGTAAGTTGCCTTTTTGCTCTGTTGTTCTACGTGGGACATAACGAACGACAAGTAAACAATCCCATAGGATTTTCTTGCCAATAATTTCTTCAAACCGTTTATTTAATTACTACTAAAGCTGAACTTGGAATGCTTGAGGTTTAGTGTTACTTGTAAGGAACGGATTTGTGCCATTTTTGTTCTGCCTGGCGGCAAGTGCTGCCCATTCGGCATCGAAAGGATCCGGCGATTTCAAAGAATGAGAATAATGGTAATTTTCGCCCGAATCCAACGAAAACGCTCGCGAATGCGACGATATGAACGCTTTCCTTGGACTCGTGCCATCCACTTTCTTCGGAGGAGCTGTTGAATTAACTATTTTTCCTAACCACTGATCTGGTTTCGGTAAAACTTCATTAGTCGGCGCGGGTGGTGCAGCGTTTTCGTTCAGTTTTTGTTTCGAATCGAACGGTCCACCGAATTCGTCGTTGGTTTTCATGAAACCTTCGTTCGTATTAAAGGTATTTGTTCCATTGATACTCGAATTGTTCCTTTCGTTTGATATGAAAGTTGACGTTCCATGGACAGAAGAATTTTTAGCTGTTGTAAACGTTTGATTGAGCACGGGTGTCATATTTAAGTTGATAGGAGACGCGGACTTGGTCGAATCCATGGCCGGTGACGAGTTAACCGATCCCCGCAAGCTCGTCCTGATCGGGACACTCGAACCTGTTGGTGATGATAACGGAGAATGGTTAAAACTCACCGTCGTATTGCTTATCGTAAGGGTCAAGTTATTTTTGTTGTTCTGATTTTGATTAACGGACACGTTGTTGTTGAAATTGAAATCGTCTGAATTGCTGTTGGTCAACTGACTAAGTCCTTGGGACAACTGTTGGCAGAGCGCCGTCACGGAATCCCCAGGCGATATTTCGGGAATGGGTGACACTTGCTTCCCGTTCGTTGGTGTCTTTATACTATTCGAGTTGGCTGCGGCAAGGAAAGCGTTCAGTCTTTCCGTGTTGCTCGGTAAATCGTTTACCCTCAGAGACATTTGACGTTTAAACGGCGAACTTTGTCCAATGGTACTAAATCTGTAACAAAAAAATATTCGCAATGATAAAAACAACTAAAAACTGTATGCCAAAAATCGTTCAAAGCTCGTAGGTATGTTGTACGACACCAGCAAAGCGAGCAATCGTGAAAGCAATCAATTTTACATGATCGCATTCTTTTATCGATTTTACAAGACAAGCCTTCGGGTTTTTCCGAAAATTCTCCCAGTGAATTGCCTATGGGCATGTACAAAAACCCACGAAGCACCAAAAATCGTTCACCAGCAAAGCGAGGAATATGATGATAAAATCGTTAGAGCAATACATGACAGCATTCAATGTAATTTTATCGATTTTACAAGACAAGCCATCGGTTTTTCTCCGAAAATTCTCCGAGTGAATTGCCTTGAAAACCTAAGGGCATATACGAAGCTCAATGGAGCAAAATACAAATTAATGTAAAATGTCTACGGATATGGTTTCACTCAATGTTAGTGAAAAAACAATTGGTTTTACTGATTAATCATGAAGCTAACATCAGAAAAGATTTGTAAAATCCACCTCCACCAAATTTTACCATTATTACATTATTTAATTAACCCTATTAATGCCTATTGTAACTTTATGCACCCAGCTACCATTTAAAAACAATCCTAATAAAGAAAGGAAACATACCCCCTACAACTTCCTTGTCTTGCTAGCATTCCAGGTGTGGCATGGGGACGTTCTATGGCAAACGGATTAACGGGCGGTGGTTTGGGTGCGTCAGACGTTCTTTCCAACCTTTCGGTCAATCCCTGCTGTCTAAACGACCCCGTCCTTGTAAATGTCGAATTCTTATTATCGAACGTCATCGTGACCGAACATTCCTTGTCTCTCTTCTGCTTTCGTTCTAAACAAACGGCAAATGCACAGCCCACCGCGTGAGACAGTCTTTCTCCCGATTCTCGGAGAGCCAAGAAGCCATGACACATCCATCGTCGCGTTGTGCCGTCTCGACATATGTAACTGAATCCACGTTCGTGATTACGATCGGGAGCACAGAATGACACCTTTTCTATTGTCTGATCCACAATGAGACCCTTGGTCTCGTCTTCAACTACGCGAAGACCATCGCCGCTAACGTGAAGAGTAGCTCGAACTGGTCTTCTTCTTGAACCCTGCAAAATAAAAAAATTAGTGTAATGAATTATTATCGGGCCTTCTAGTCCGGGACATCATGGATATCTGCAGTTTTTCTTCCAAAGATGACCCATCAACGAGGTTCACGATGGTCATAGTTTAAATATGAACACCTTGGAAGAATGAATTTCTCAAGATATCTCGAGTAGAATTTATTTTGGGAATTCCCTAACTGCAATAGGGTCCCTATTGGAAATTGTTGGATTTGCCCAAACTGGGCATTTCCCACCTATACCGAATAAATTTTGATCTGCGTATTTTAGGGCAATCCCAAACTGCACTTCCGAACTACAATCTTATTGAAGAATAATTAATAATTATTTAATTTATAAATAATAAATAGTTAACCTAAACTAACCTAACCTAACCTAACCTAACCTAACCAAACCTAACCAGGTCAAACTTGCGCCATGCCAACC